TGCAGAGAGATGGACCATTTAAGGTTTTATTTCAACGTCTCATAGTTCTGTCACATCAGGGGTACATAATGTGTTTTTTCTTAGATTCACTCCTTACCTTGCTGGGTTAGTAGTAATTCTTAACAGAATCCCTGTCGGCAAGAGTTAACAGGTTAGACTGAGATTTCGTTCACAGAAAGCTTACCTACAGGGAGAGAGATTGACCTGTGGACATCAGTTTCATAGAGAGAGCTCTTGGTGTGGTGAAAATAATGATTTGTGTTCTGTTTTTATTTGGGCCTTTTTTTTTTTTTTCGGTGTGAGTAATTAGACCTAGTGCAGCCTCTAGGAAAAGTCTTGCCTTTTCATTTGAGAAATTATGAGCACAGTTTCAGTTTTACAGCAGCTGTTGTTGAATGTGTAGAACCCAGTTCCATCTGTTCAGTTTTGTTGTTACAGAACTTGGTCCAGCCGTTTGGGCCAAAGCCAACCAAAAGCTTAGCTGCCTTTCTCACCGCACACTGGTACTGGCATGCCTTCTGTAGATGAAACCGTCACGTAAGGAAAAAAGGTATTTAGTGTTAACTTCTGTGCCACATTCCTTGCTGTTATTCTAGCCTTCAGTGTCATAACACAGAACGGAGTAATAAAGAGGTAATTCAGGAATAATAATTCTGCTTCCTGTTAGGCCTATTTCGTTTCACAGAGGCTACCACCATGCTTGATAGTTAAGACTGGGAGAGGAACGTGGAAATGGCTTGCTCGTTACCAGCAGAGAATTCTGCTCCAGGTTAAGGTGTATTACGAGAACGCTTGGACCAGTCAAACTTTCCTGCTTGTTTGAAAACTTTCGTACAGTTTACCAGCAGGAAATATACCAGAGCTGTTTTTGATGGGTACACTAAACATATTGCTCACAAATTCAGCCTCCTTGATTTTTTTTTTTTTTTGGTACTTACCTATAGGCCTAAAGGCACCTGTTGGTGTCTCAGTATAATCAGTAGTTCCTTGATTGAAAGTTGACTGTAAGTCTACCATCTTAAAATTAGATATCTTTTTGGAATGAAAAAAATAGTTTCTTAAAAACATCTTGTATTCACTAATTTTCTGAAAAAGATCTCAGCAGTTAAGCTTTCTGGATGGTAACGAAGTGATGTCTAGAAGGCAAGTGCTATGACACCATGTATGAATGTAATTTTCTTAGTAATTTACCTCTGACTCTTTGGTGTCTTAACACTTTGGTTTATATCTCAGGGGTTGTCTGCAAACCAAAACTAACATATTCTGTGGTTAGCCTTTTTTTTTTTTTCCCTCAACAGAATGCTTTGCTTTTTTTTTTCTTCTTCTTCTTCTCTCTTCTCTTGTCTTCTATGTCTTAATACCTAGTCTCCATGAACTTCCCTTTGAGAGAGCCCTATACAGATTAGATGAGTCTAGAAGTGCTCTTTGAAGTAGCAGCAAACCGGGGGTATATACTCTGTTATATAGAAATAAATCGTCCTTGCTATTTTCTTATATTTGGCTTTGCTACATTGTATATAATTTGAGCTAAGACTATAGTAAATTCACTTTTCTGCATGGTAAAACGCCCCAATAAATATTCCCCTTTGCTTAATAATGTACATATAGTGCATTATTTTTTCTATTTGTAGATGAATTTAGTGACAGATAATTGTCTGTTCCCTGCTGAAACTGAAGAAACCTAGTTTTGTGTGAACCTTTTTCTGTGGTCTTATGGATAAGGTACATGAAGATTTTTTGCAGCAGTGTTAGTGGTTCGGGGGCTGCATTTTATTATCAGCGTGCTAATTTTTGACAGGAACGGGACTACACCTTTTCAAGTAAGCGTCTGAGGGTATCAGACAATGAAAATGTGCTGTAACTAAGTAGCATGTAAGTCAGCTGACTGTAAACCGTTTCACTGGGAACTGATTTTAGCTATATTTTACTTCAGACAGATGATGAGAAAATAACCCACCTGTGCATCAGTTAGAAGGTGCTCAGGGTTTCTTACTCTTCACATGGACATTTTGTGCAGTCTTTGTTATAAATTTCCAGAAGACTATACTCTTTACTTTGAAGGACTATTTTTTAATTATACCTCATTTAGCTAACTAGTATTCTAATACCTGGTAGAAAAACAGTGAGCCAGTCTTTAAGCATCCGACATAATTTAGACTCTGTTTCAAACTAAAGGCATCATTGGAAAAGGTAGGAGGTAGTTTAGTTTAGGATAGAACATACATGTCATATCCAAGTAGTGCAAAAGAAGTATTATCTTCCTGTCTCCATTAACAAACTTAGCTGTGCAATATAGATAAATGTTTGCAGAAATTTCTAAATAAGAGATTATAACTCCACTGTACAGGTTCTGAATGCTGAGAATCTGTATTAAGGCTTATACAGTTTTCCCTGTGAACAGTGATACATGGAAGCAGACTTTTCTAGCTCATGACTTAGATTTCTTTATAAATTTAGTTCTTAATCTTTAAAGATGAGCTTCTAAGCTTGACATTTTAAAACAGCATTTCATTATGTTGGTTTACTTATCTCAAATTTTAAGCACCATTTCTGCTGTCAGGTTTTTAAGAATTTTTCTTGTAACAGAAAGGACGTTCCTTTCTCCTTCTTGTTATATCCAAAGAAGGGGGTGAGAGAATGTCTAAAAATGAAATTCCTTGTCCTAGAGGGACCTCGAGGGACAAGATAATGCTAATAAAATGTCAAATGCTAGCACAATTTTACAGTAGAATCGGTCCTTTTTAGACTAATAAATTTAATGGCTGTCATGTTTACTATGAAAAAAATCTAAGTGACTGAAATTTACAGAAATGAAAATAAGCAAACAATTATTTTAGGGATATTTTCAAATTTTACTTCATTTTTTGAAATGCTTCTGTCATACGCAATTGCATTTCTTATTGCCAAGAACTAATAGAACTTCTTGTTTTATTTCTTAGCTGTTTTTAAAATGTGAATTTAATTATTATAATTCATTCCTATGGCCTTACAGATGGGTTTTATTTTGTTTGCGGCTGACACTGTTCCTTTAATGCAAAATACTATAATCTATTTGACTAAAATCATGCCCCTAATGGGAAATACCTAGTTTTTCCATAGAATTAGCCTACTGTGTATGTTTCAGCATATTTCACTTTTGCTCCAATGGCTTAATGTGAAAAAGTTCCCGCAGATGAAGTGGACCTGTCATGTGCTTAATCTTCTTTAAGCCAGTTCATTAATTGTGTACTGATACTGATGCTGTGTTTTTTTTTTTAAAGAAAAAATGGATTTTATTCCAGGTGAACTGTTTTTTACAATAATGTTCGTCTAAAATAAAAACTGCATAATGAAAATAGTCATGTCTCTCTGAAATGGATTACACAGTTTTAAGATGTTTCTTCTAACTTGCTAGATACGTGTCTTGAACCATGGTAGACTTGAGATAATTTAGCAAACGTCCCTTCTGACTTAGAAAAATGGCCAGTGCTCCTGCTCATACATGGAGGTTATTCTGTTACAGAACTGCAGACTTAAATTGATCGTCCTTCCCTCTTAGCCCTCGCAAGTTTGGTTTCTATTGTTCTCACGTCCAGTAACACAATTTGATGTCGGTGTTCTGTGGATGTCCCACCCCTGTGCTGGCGCATGTTCCCAGTCCTAGCTTTTGTCATTCATCATTCATCCCTTCAACCATTTGGAACACTTTCACTGTTCTTCTCCAGCTTCTTTCTTTGTTCCTTTTCCCACTCTTGATAGATCTTTCATCTCCTGTCTTACGCCGAGAAGCATCGATCTACAACCATCTCTGCCTCCTGAACCTACAGCCTCCCGTGGGCTGGCTGCGCTCTCTCTCCCCTCGTCCTCACCTCAGGTAGCACAGAAATTCCTCCTATTCCGTGCTTTCTCTCTGCCTCTGTGGGTTCATCTTTCCACCTCTTTGCTGCTTCTCAGGGAACTCACAGCTCTCTTTTACCCTCAAACTCTTATCCTGTGTTACCTTGTTTCCCTAAGCGTCTTTAACCCTCCCACCCCGTGGCCTCATGTCACTCTCACCCACGCTGTTCCTCTTCCTGTCACAGCCAAGCTTCTTCAAAGGGTCGCCCATAGCTACTGGGTTCACTTTTTCATTTTCCTTCTATTTCTCAACCTCCTCCAGTTTGACTTCGACCCCCATCGTGTCACTGACACCGTGCCAACCGTGGCCGAGTTGCTAAATAGCAGATGATTTTCAGTCCTTATCTCGGTTAGCCTCTTGGCAGCATTTAACCAGAAATGTTCTCTTCCCTTAGTTTCCTTCCCTTGGTGACAATATTCTCCTGATTAACCACTTATCCAAAATCATTTCATCCTTTTTCATGGTTCTTAAATAGCTCGTGACTTCTGTGGTAGACTGAATAATGGCTCCCAAGGATGCCAGCGTCCTAACCCCTG